ATATGTGATGGATATTACGAAACTGGGTCATCATCCTGGTGCAAGTTTTCGAAGGAGAATATACATAAATTTTCTCACTTTTCATACCTAATTCAGAAATCAAATGTCAGAGCAATCAAACGTTCGAAATGGGTTTATAATGTCTTCATAAGGAGGAAATGAATGGAAAAATTTGTCGAAACGATTAACTCCAAATGAATTATCCTGTAATTCTTAACTTAACCTTTATCTCCCTTTAATTCCCTATAATAGACATAAATATGATTTCACTTTTAAAGAGTACGATACGATAGGATACGTATTTTCATAGTTCATAGGTGCCACTTTAATGATAACAAAATGAACGCGAAAGTAAAATAACGATCGAATTTTATCCAAAGAAAGGATAATAATTACATATGTATGGATTTATATACATATATATATATATGTATGTAAGTAAGTACGTCCTCTTTAAGATGAAAAGGATGAAAGATGAATGACGGGGAATAGGAAGATGAAAAGAAATAGAAAAGAAAAAGAAAAAGAAAGGAAGAAAAAAATTAATATTATCTCCGTTGATAAGAGAATATTGTTATCCTTTCGATTGAATTTTTTTTTCTTTATTTTTCTTTCTTTTTTTCTTTTTTTTTTTTTTTATAATACATTTGTACATATATACATATTATATATCTATCGACATCCAGTTCCTTGCGATATTCAGGACGCAATGTGTATATATATATATATATATATATATATATATTTTGAAGTAGCTTAATGTTCAGGTGGCCTCTATCGAGCGACCCAATTCGTTAGTAGGTCAACCAACCTGGTATAACCCGATTCGCGAAACTTGCCGACCCCATTTATTTGACCCAATTCCCTGATTTATACGTTTCCGGTAAAATCGTGCCAACCCGGACGCGAGAAGATTATTTGAGTCGAAAACCCCCTTGGTGTTATTATCATTCGTTAACACCAAACCAGAGTTACTAAGAAGTAAATAAGAAAATAAGTAAATACGTAAACACGTGATCCTTTTACTCCGTCATATATGAAAATTAGGCTTATCAATTTTTTTTTTATTCCTTTTTTTTTTTTTCTTTTTTATGAATCTTTTATAAATAGATAGATAGATAAATAGAGATGAAAATTTATAGATCGTAAAATCTAAATCCCTTCAACCCATACGCCATTGGGAAGTAATTTATTTTAGTTAGTCTAACGTGTTTCGAAACATTCGATCTCTTCGTTGTCGAAGACATTTATCGTTTACTACTAGTTTGAAGTTTGATATATATATATATATGTATGTATGTATGTATGTATGTATGTATGTATGTATGTATGTATGTATGTATGTATGTATGTATGTATATTATATGTTCGTTCGATGAGCTATCATCTTAACTTTATAGAAGATCTATGTATAGTTTAGAAACATTGAAGGAGATTAACGGTATTTGAAGACAAAGTGAAGTTCTTCTGGACAAGGTCTAAACGAATAGATAGATAGATACATACATAAATATATATATATATATATAAATATAAATATATATATATATATATATATATATATATATATATATAATATCCTTGGAAAAGAAGATATGAGAGAGAGCACGTGTATCATCGGTGTCCTACTTTTCTACAACAGTTAGATAGAGCCTTTTTTCCCTTCTGAAGAGTGAAAACACTGGAAATAGATTTTCTCTCTCTCTCTCTCTCTCTCTATCCTTCTTTCCCTTTCTCTTTTTCTCTTTTTCTTTCCACATCAACTTCTTCTTTTCTTCAACAAGTAGTAGTCGCCGGTAAAACTACTCTCACCGATTGAAACATCGGCATGACCCTACTTGTAATACATATCTATCTTATATATATATAAAATATATATATATATATATTTTTTTTTTTCTATATATATATATACATTGTATGTGTTTATTTGTATATGTTTAACCGGGAACTAGGAAAAGGAATGAAATAGGAAAGGAAGTGAACGAGCGAGTTTAAAGGGAAGAGAGAAAGAGAGAAAGAGAGAGAGAGTGAGAGAGAGTGAGGAAGTCAGAGAAGTGTGAGAGGGTAAGAGGGAAAAGAAGGGAAAGGTATATAGAGGTAAAGGGGGAAAACGAAGTTCTCCGTGTACCTGACCCATTTATCCAGCACGATTCCACGGTGCCGTGGATACGTAGCTCTATCGATCGGCCTAGATCCGTGGCCCCGGCCTGCCACCCGCGCGACACACAATTTCTCCAGACCGGCATCACCATTGTTACTAATACTGGCATCGTTATCATCACCATTACTCTGCATCACCATTACCACCGTCATCGTCGTCATTCTAAATCATTAACCTCGTCATCGTCCTCGTCATCTTCATCGTCATCATTATTTTTATTACTATCATTATAATCAAACGTGATCATCGTACGTTCGTTCAACCATTCCAAAATCGATTCTCTCTCATTATTCATGGATTTCGAAAGTAAACTAATATCGTAATCTAAGTAAATTA